GCCTTCTGTAAATGAAATTCCTTAAAAATATGGGCTCTGTACGTTCTATTCATCTGTCTTAGTTAGGAAATTACAATGTCAAGTTAGAAAACCCACTATGGAGCTAGAGAAATGGCTCAGTGGTTAAGAGCACTGGCTGCTCTTCCAGAGGTCCTGAGTTCAATTCCCAGCAACCTTATGGTGGCTCACAGTTATCTGTAATGGGATCAGATGCCCTCTTCTGGTGTCTGAAGACAGCGACAGTGTACTCACATATATAAAATAAATAAATCTTAAAAAAAAAAAAGAAAAAAAGAAAGAAAGGAAGGAAGAAAGAAAGAAAGAAAGAAAACCCACTATGAAGGTATATTTGTTCGTGTTGAAGGTGGAGGTGAACTGAGGAGATGGTTCAGTCATTAGTGTGCTTGCCCTACAAGCACAGGGACCTGGGTTGGCTCTCCCACACCACATAGAAAGCTGGGCACAGCAGCATACATCCATAATCCCAGTGTTGGGAGACAGAGACTGTCTAGGCAAATGTGAGCTCCAGGTTGAGAAGCTCTATCTCAAGAAATAAGGTGTGGTGGGTGTTGCTGAAGAGATGACTTGGCAGTTAAGAGCACTGGCCTCTCTTCCAGAAAAGCCTCATTTGATATCCAGCACCCCTGTGGTGGCTAACAACCATCTGTAACTCTACTGCTAGTGAGATCTGATGCCCTCTTCTAGCCTCTGAGGGCACTGCACACATGTGGTACACAGACATACAAGAAGGCAAAATGCCCACACACATAAAATAAAAATAAAATAGAAAGATAAGTCTTTAAAAGAAGGCTATTCCTGGAAGATTTACAGTGTAAGTGGTCCAAGGTGACCTGTGAAATGGTCCCCATACCCTCTTAACCAAGAAAGTACTACCAAACCACGAAAATCAAACAGTTCAAGCCTTCATGCATATAAGAATACCCATAAAACTGCTCAAGCAGGCCATCAAGGGTGTGCATATTTGAAAAGCCATCAAGTGTGAAAGATGTTACTTTAAAGTAGCAATGTGTGCCATTCTGTGAGTGTAATGGTGGGACTGGGAGGTGTGCCAGGGCCAGACACTGTGTCTTGTACCAAGACACCTGGCTTACCAGGACAGGATGGCCTGAAAAGGGGCTGTGTGTTTGCTGTGCATGCTTAACAATGCAGAAGTGATGCTGAACACGAGCATTTGGATGTAGCATCTTTGGTTGTTGACCATGTCCTGGCAAACAAAGCCTCTATGACACAGCACTGAATTTATAGAGGTCAGGGTCAGATTAGCCCACACTACAACAACGTGTTCCTAAGCACAGAAGAAAAAGATATTCTAGACAAAACAAAAACCCTTACAGTATGGGAATAAAATAAACAGAGATAAAATTTTTTTAAAGGTGTGGAAAGTACATGGAAGATACCCATGTAAAATTCTGTACACACACACACACACACACACACACACACCCCAATATACACACATGTACCACTACCCCCAAGTAAAAAAATCCAGAAGTGAATGAATTTTCTGAACAGTTTCATCAGGTTTTTGACTCAGTTTTTCAGAAATATTTTCTAAGTTTCGTTTTCCTCCAAAACTTCCACAACATCTTGTCTTTGGCTGTTGTTCCTCATAACTGAGAAAAAAAGACTGTGCTGTGTATCATACTAGACTCTGCTATCCAGGAAACAGAATATCTCTTCTTTATCCTTTCCTTTTGATTAATTGCTTTGGGGCTTTAAAATTATGTTTATTTATTTAGGGTTTCATTTGTTTGTTTGGTTTTTGAGACAGGGTTTTTCTGTGTAGCCCTGACTGTCCTGAAACTTGATCTGTAGATTAGGCTGGTCCCAAACTCACAGAGACCCACCTGCCTCTGGTTCCTGATTAAAGGTGTGTACCAAGACACCTGGCTTACCCTGGGTTTAATAATTAGGAAGACTGGAGTTCTGACTCAGCAGTTAAGCACTTGTTGCTCTTGAAGAGGACCTGAGCTGATTTTTCAGTACCCCAGATGGCTCACAACCATCTGTAACTCCAGTTCCATGCGAGCTGATGCCCTCGTCTGACCCTATCAGTCATGTATGTGGTTGCACATATATACATGTAGGCAAAACACTCATACATATAAGTCTTAAAAAAATAATTAAAGGCCTGGCCTACAGAGTGAGTTCCAGGACAGCCAGGACTACACAGAGAAACCCTGTCTTGAAAAATAAAAACAAAAAAACAAACAAAAAAAAACAAAAAAAAAAGGGAAAGTGTAGTACAATCATTTAGTCTGTGGACTCTAAAATTGGAGTCCCTCATTAGCGAACCTCTTCTGTGACTGGCTCCTCACCTATGGGAATTTTACTAGTACTTATTTCATAAGGCTGTTACGGGGATTGAATGAGCTTGAAGAGCTGTCAGTGCACTGCCTAGTAACTAGTTAGTGCTGCATATCTGTTAGCTAGTGTTGCCAGCATGTTTCCTTAGAAACATCACCCTTCAAATTCTCATCTTGTGAGATTCTTCTGAGGCAATACTAAGAGTCTTCTTGACATTTCTTTGTTGGATTTGTTATAGTCAACCATAAAACAGACATTAAATGAGGGATCTACTATTTTATGCAGACTGAACAAAACAGACAATAGCCTGTCCTTGCACTCATCACACTGGAGTGGAGGGTGTGTTTGGCAGAGAGACAATACGCTAATATACACATTTCAGATGGGACATTGCTCTGGAGAAGAATCCAGCAAGAAAGAGTATAGTAGTGAAAGGTTGCTATCTGAAATGTGGACAGGTGAGGCAATTAATTAATTAATTTAGACAGGATTTCACTGTATAACCCTGGCTGGCCTGAAAGTTGGTATGCAGACCAGGCTAGCCTCAAACTCCCAGAGATCTCCCTGTCTCTGCTTCTCAAGTGCTGGGAATAAAGACATGAACCATTAATCCTGACTGTGCAAGACTTCTTTTTAGAAAGTCTGAAGATGGCTGGCCATAGTGGTATAGACCTTTAATCCCAGCATTTAGGAGGCTGAGGCAGGCAAATCTCTGGTAGTTTGAAGCCAGCCTGGTCTACAGAGTGAGTTCTAGGATAGCTAGAGAGCTACATAGTGAGATTGTCCCAAACAAACAAAAACATTAAAAAACAAAACAAAAAACAATGCAAACCAAAAAACCTAAAACTTAGAAGAAAAAAAAAAAGCAAAAGAAACTGTTAAGATGGCAAGGAGTGATTCATGTGAATATCCAGGAGAATACGAGGCCAGCACAACAGTAAAGGCAAAGGCCCAGAGGAAGCAGTACACCCGGCATCTTAGAAGATCAGGAAAAAGGTTGAGATGTCGTTGGAGCAAAATAGCAGACTAAAGCTTACACCGTGTGAGAAGGGTAGTGGGTGATATTCAGGACCTTGTAGAATGTGTACAGAACCCCCAGTGCCAGCAGAGTATCATCTGCCAACTTTTACAATAGAAGCCATGAACAGGGCAACAGTGGCAGCAGCTTGCCTGACAGTGGGATTGAAAGTTCAGAGAAAGCTTCTCAGAGGACGTTAGCTTCTGAGCTGAGTATGGGATGAGTGAAAAGGCCACCACAGAAGGCGTTAATAGATTGCTATAGTCAGTCTGGCGGTGGTGGTACATGAGATGGAGGCCAGCCTGGTCTACAGAGTAAATTCTACGAAAGCCAAGGCTACACCAAGAAACCCTGTCTTGAAAAACCAAACAAGAAAATACAACAAATACTAGATCTATTTGACCAAATATGGTAAGACTACTTACTGCACAGAGAGGAAAGTGAGGAGCTGGATAAAACAACGAGCAGAGGGGGTTGGTAGGGGCTGGACTGATTGAAGGAAGTGTTTATTGATCATCAGAATACTAACTAGGTCTGGGAGCCCAGTAATGTACAAAAATCAGTAAAGAATTCCTGGTCTTGGTGCTGGGGAGATGGTTCTTCAAGGCTGAGAGCCTGTTTGAATCGCCTATTCCCTAACTAAAAAGGCCTGGCCTTACTGTGATCCCAGCAGTTGGAAGGCAGAGGCAAGGAGGATCAGGAGTTCAAGATTATTCTCGGCTACAGAGCAAGTACAAGGCTAGCCTGGGCTACAGAGACCCTGCCTAAAACTCTGTCCTAATTCCCAAAAGATTATGAAATCACAAGTCTGAAGGGAATGGGGAATACAAATAAATGCGTTTCCAGCTTTCTGGGAGACTTGTAACTATAGCCGACAGTGGTCCTCTTTGCTCTCAGAAGACCCCTGATGGCCTGGAGAGGCAAAGTGGGGATGTGAGTGGGAGAGCCTGGAGACGGAAACACGGATTCAACTGGAGATCCTGACATGAGAGAGAACCAAGTAAGAAAACATTTCATCCCATAAGGGCAAAACTACTTGATCAGGCTTTTTTTTTTTCCCTTCCCACTTTTGACGAAGTGTGTCCAAATCCCGGACACTGGAGCGTCTCCGCTCAGTTCAAGCCTTTCGCAGCGAATGGTAGCACTCTAATTCCTAGAAAGTGAAATAACCGGGCTCCAATTGCTTCTGAACACCGCCGCACCGCCCCCAGCTAACAGAGAGGGCCCCAGGTCCAGGCCTCGCCCAATCAAGCACCTCCCCCGCGCTCCTCCTTTAGGATCTTCCTCCTTCCGGCTCCCGCTCAGGGTCCACCTCAGACTCCTCCAGCCCGCCGTGCTTCCAGGCCCACCTCCTTCTGACCCGCGGCAACCTCGTAGCACCGCCTCCGCTTCCGTAGGCCCTAGCCCGGCCCCTCTGACTCCTCCCCTGGGCACGCTCTTCCCCCTCGGCTCCGCCCTCAGCCTGCTGCTCCTCCCTGGTGCCGTCGGGCACGTCAGCCCTCGGGACCCCTCCGCCCCGCCTTCAGGACCCCGCGGTGGAAGCCTCCAACTCCTTTCCCTCAGCCCCGCCTGCCTCCTCCGTCCCTCCTACCGCTAGGCCCCGCCCCGGACCCGCCCTCCTCCCCTGCGCGCCGAAGCTCTGGACCTTTCCAAAGCCCGGCGCGAGGGGTGTGCAGAGAGCCCACGCGTCTGGAGAGCCCGGCCCGTGTAGGGCCACGCCGAGGACCGAGTACTCAGGTGCAGGGTCCGATCCGGAGGACGGAGACGAGAACCGGGCGGGAGCCGGGGCGGCGGGCAGGCCGAGTGCAGAGGGCTGTCCAGCACTCTCCCTACCCACGCTCGCCTTAGTGGTGGCGGCCGAGGGAAGGACTCGCGGCTGCGGGGCTCGCGCCTCTGTCAGTGCGGCGGGGCGCGCGAGCGGCTCGGGGCGCGGAGCCGAGGGGAGCCGAGGGGGCGGAAGCGGTCGCGACTCGCGCGCGTGTGCTCGGGCTCCTCACGCGGCGGCCGGGGCCGCCTCTTCCCTCCCGCCCTCCGAGAAGCCGGCGCGCCGTCGCCTTCCGTGCCGCGCGGCTTCCTCCAGACCTCAGCGCGGGTGAGTGGGGGCCGCGGGCCGCTCCTGAGGAGTGCGGGCGGGCTGTTCCTTGTGCCTTTTCGTTCCTCACCTCCTCGGGCGGGCCGTTGCCTATTTTTAGAAACTCTTTCTTTCGGCCGTTCCGGGAGTCCTGGGAGCCGGAGTAACTCTCGTCTCCCCTCTGTGCTCCCTCCCAGGCCCGCCGCCCCGGGTCGCTTGCCCGGGGCCACCCGCGCCCGCCCCTGGCCGCCTGGCGTTCGCAGCTCGCCTCTGGTCGGCCTGCCGTGCCCGGGCCAGGAGTTGGGGGTGGGCCGGTGCCCGCTCGGAAGTTGGAGTCTTTTGTGCTCGCGCCCCGCCCCGACCGGCGAGGGGAGGAGGGGAGGGAGCGGAGATTGCGCCGGGGAGGCCTCGGGCGGGCTGGGGCCTGGCTCTGGTGTGGGTTGGGGCCCCGGGTTTATTCCGGCTTTCCCGTCGGTCCAGCTCTTTGGGTTCCCTTAGGCGCGCAAAACTGGTCCTTTCTTTTTTCTCTCGGGTCTGAGCGCCTTCCTCGCCACCCTTGCCTATCCTTTGCTTGTTGTCTTCTGGGGCGCGGAAGGGAACGACCAGCCCTCGAACTAGGGCCGCGTCCCTCACTTTGCTCCAGCCCGAACCTCAGTTTTCACCTGGATGAAATGGGGTCAAGAAGGAACGCAGCGTCTCAGGGTGTTAGTGAATTCAGGGAGGGAGTTAGTTCATGGCAGAAACGTTAAATGCCAACAGGTAACGTTTGATGAATTTGACCCAGGAACTTCGTGAATGTATCGCCTAATGTCCGCACCGGTCTTCCAGAGTTGTCCCTACTCACAGGAGCAGAAATCGTGGTTCACAGAAATGAAACCGCCATAGAAGTACAATGCTGTTAGTAACCGTTACTTATTTCCTGGTATGAGCATGTGTCATCTGTTTGTGCAGAGGGCATTTTGATTTACCGTTAGTGTTAACACCGTATAGTTAAGAAATATAGGTACCTCCCTGAGACATGGACTGATCTGCCATAGATAAAATCCCCTTTTCTTGCTATCAGAATTCTGAGGGAAAGTGGTTAGGATGAAATTTTTTGCTGGTGTTGTGGTTAGATGGGTCCAGGGATCTCAAGTCTCAAACATAAATGAAGTTCTGAGATGTTTAGCTTAAGGACCTCACCGAAGTCCACCCTTTATTTTGTTTATTGCGTGCCTCCTAATCCCTTCACCTCAGTCTTGTATGTTCTTTATGGTCCTAGCTATCGATCAGTTAGATCTATTTAGGTAGCTCAAGTCATCTTTAACCCCTTGTCTTCAAACTGTGTTATTTTTCTTTGTCTTCCAATAAGGGGTAGAGGGATTAAAGTGAAAGTTAACTTTGGCAACTGTTTTTCCTTTTGCAGTGAGTTTGATATTGGCTGTGGGGTTCTGGTTCTTGAGGAGGTTCACAGGTTTGCATTAGTTCCTTTGGCTTGTACGTCTACTGTGCTTCAGTGCTTCATCCATCCCTTAAGATTCTAGGATACAGTAATGGTGGAATATAGGAGGTTGATGACTTGATAGACCACCCCTTCTTTCCTTTTAACTGACCCATGGAAGGGGGAATGCTGTCTAAATGGACTTCCTTGATGATTACTAGATTCCTAGTAGCCTTTCTTTCAGCCTGTTTTTATTGTTATACATTGCCATTTGTTTTGAATATGAACTTCCTTTTCAGGCCTCAAGATAGGAGTCTCAGGTAATTGGACATCTCAAAAGACCCCGTGTAAACTCAGCTGCTTTTTCTGCCTCAATGTCTAAAAGGCCAGATGTCTGTATTTTCTTGTTAGCACTTTTGTCTTAGTTTCTTAGTGGTTTAGGTAGTCTTCTGTAACCATTGTCTGACTTCTAATCTAGTGTGAAGTCGTTTGCAGGCCTTTATTTATGTCTTTGTAGTGTCAGGCAGTGGAGACAAGATTAGGACATTTGCCTTAGGATCACAGGATTTAGCTGGTGTTGTACAAGGAGCTGAGCCAGTTCTTGGGGCCCTCTGAGTCTTTTTCCTTAAGTGTAAAGTCTCATAGGGTGCTATGGAGACTACAAGGAAATAATTGTGAGGATGTTTGTTACAATTAATGATAGCTAACCTTTATTAGTTATAGGGCTGATGATTTTTAGTGGAATGTGTCATTTAATCCTTGGAGCAGTTTATGAACTAGGTATTGTCCCTGCTTTACAGAAGAAACAGGCTTAGAGAAAGGTTACGTGACTTGCTCAGGGCTTTGTAATTGGCAATTGGCCAAGCTGGATTCACTCTGCAGATAGCAACATTGAAAGTCAGATACTTTGAAAAATTGTGGTGTCAGATATGTATGTCAAATTTTAAACAGTTGGCATTGTAAGAGTTTTATAGTGTGCGTAACATACTTACGGGATTAAGTATATTCACATTGTTCTACAGCTAACATCACCAAATTATCTTCCCTTTTCCCAACTGAAATTCTCCTAGTTGTACACTAACTTCTTGTTGAAGACTCCTAGCAAACACCATTTTGTGTTCTGGTGTAAATTTGACTACCCTAGGACCTTCACAGTGAGGTGAAATAATTCAGTCTTTGTCCTTTTGTGATTGCCACAGATAGCATTTCCTTCCTTTCACAGTGTTCAGTAAATGCAAAATGATTTACTAGTTCTCATATGCAGCAGAGTGACATCCCCTGAGCAGGAATGCAGGCCTGGTTGTGCCTCTGGCAAAGCCCCCTTCTCCCCTCTGTAGTTAAAGCTTTATTACTGAAGCCAGTTATAGATTATATTAGCCCCTGCACTTTCCAACGAGATCTTCTATTCTTGAATTAGAATCCAGACTACTACATATTCTTTCACTGTTTGTCCATGTTTATTTGGTCATTAGGGTTTGGGCATGCAGAGCTGTAGTGATCAGGAATAGCAGAACTATGACAGCAGCTTGGATCAGAACTTGTCAGCTGATTAAGTAGATTACCTCAATGACAGGCTCCCCTTTTGTGTCTCTCTCTTTCCATAAAGGCACACTGAGGGGACTATTTGGAGTCTTAGAAATTCTTATGTATTCTCACTGCTGTGGTTAGGGTGGGGTTAGGTGTTACTTAGTCTTTCAAAATTCACTTTTGTTCATCTGTTTCTGTGTCTTGTGAGATTTTTATATTTATGAAAGTGGCTGGAATTTTGTTCTGGTGGTAATGTGGCTTTGGAGTAGGTAGTACTCCAGAGATGAGGACTAGGACAACAAACCATAAAACTCTGATGGCTGACTTTGCTTGGATTTTAAAGTCAGAGTTCGTTGAATAATATGTTTGATAAAGTGCCATTTTTTTTTCTTTTGTGATGCTTGAGAATAAGTCTAGAGTTCATGCATGGGAGATAAGCCCTTAAGCATTGAGCTAGGTTCCCAGTTTTGAATAGAGGCTTACATTTTTATTTTATGTGTATGGGTATTTTATCTGCATATATGTCCGTGTACTGTGTGTGCAGTGCCCAAAGAGGCCAACAGATGATATCATATTTCTTAGAACTGGAGTTGCAGGTAGTTATGAGCTGCCAGTGTGCGCTGGAAATTGAACCCAGATACTCTGAAGAACAGCCAGTGCTCTTAACCATTGAATCCAGCCCTTGGATAGAGGTTTATAGTTGGTAGGGTTGCATGGCTATTTAGACCAGACTTCAAACATTCCATAGGACTACTTGTTTCAGTGGACATATCATTATTGGAAAGTTTTTTCATTTTACTGAATTAAAATATTTTTTTTGAGATGGGGTTTTATTATGTAGCTAAGACTAGCTTGGAACTTGGGGTATATCTGCCTCAGCTTGGAGTTAAGAGTTATCACAGTTGATGCCTGCTTTCATAGACCAGTTTTGAGGCATTTACTAAGCATGGTACGAGGCTCTAGGATTTGGGCACATATAGTCAGGCAAAAGAAACAAGCATATGAGAAGTGTTGTGACAAGGACAGGACCCTGAAGACATAGAGGGATGACATTTAACCCAGCATTGGTGGGTCAGGAGGGCATTCTTGGAGAAGCTGGCTTGGCATAAACATAAGCCAGGAAAATAAAATTTGGAAGACTCAGGGAAGAGGTGGGATGGACCGTAATTCTAGAGATGGTCATGATGTTTAGGTGAGGCTTCTAGTTATTTATTGTATCAGGTATAATTGTAGGCATTTAACATATGTTAACCTCTTCCCTGAGAGGAAAAAAAAAATTATTAACTATCCAGTAGGTGAGGAAACAATCTCAGAGGGATTAAATGAATTTCTCAAGGTTCCCAGGTCAAGTGTAAGTCTCTGATGAGTGGATGTGGTGATAGGAAGACTGGCAGGGTAGGCAGAGTAGAATTCAGCTCACAGAGCCTGTGTCTCCACATTGGACCTTATCCTGAGGTAAGGGGTCCTGTGACTTTCTGCATCTTTTTAAAGGCTGTGTCTGGTAACCTATTAGGGGAGTGCACTTAGGGCTAGAGCGCTATGGGTAGAGACCAGATTGCCAGGTACAGTATGACTGATTCAAGGCTCCGGTGTTTCAGATGACAGTAAGCATAGGGTATGTGTGAATGAAAACGTGAACCAAGTAGAAAAGACAGTGGTTGTTGGAATGGAGGATAAGGAAGAAAGCACATTAACCTGTCACACAGATAAGGGTTTGGGAACAAAGAGGGAATACAGAAGGGAAGGGTGAGGATTTGTCATACAGGTTGATTATCTTATATCTGCTTTCATTAATCTCTCTTACAGATAAGAGGTTTCCATCAGAGCTGGGACCAGTGGTGAAGAGAGATGGGGGTTAGTGTGACTTCAAAATCTTAATTATTTGGCTAAACCAGTGGTTCTCAACTTGTAGGGTCGTGACCTTCGGAAAGCTTATTTCTGACAGTCTTAGGAACTGAGATACCGTCTAGTAGCAGAATTACAGTTATGAGGTAGCAATAAAATAATTTTATGGTTGGGGGTTACCACAATATGAAGAACTGTATTAAAGGGTCGCAGTGTTAGGAAGGTTGAG